AATTTCGGCTAAGCGCTTCCTGATGTAAAGGATTTTCCCCTTGGTGCGCCGGCTCGCGAACGAGGGCGGAAAGACGGCCGCGCGTTTGTCGAAGCTAAATCGTTCGAGCTACTTCAAATACCCGATCCCGGCGAAACGGCGCTTGAAATGGAATTAACGGAATCTAACGCGGTAAGCGATACGAATCGGGTGTTGCGATCCAAAGTCGAAAAGGAAGCGATCCGAGAAGTTCCCAGTGAGCTGGGAGGAAGTTGATTATGACCCGTTACAGCGTTCAGGCCGATCTGGAAGATTGCGTTCATCAATCGAAAGCTTCCCGCGAGTCTCAACGCTGCCTCGACATATAATTGTTCGCCTCATGGATGCTTCCCCGAGTCGAAGTTCCAGCACCGTGAGGACACGTTATGCAAGCATAAGGATAATCACAAGGATATCGTCATTAGCCGCTGGACTCACCGCTTACCGTCCAATCGTCGAAGTTCAGCAGCGGCGAGCGCGATTCGAAGGTGGCCCGACAACGTTTTTTCTCTGTGCATACTGATCGCTCGGACACAAGATTTGTGTCCGATTCTTCGAAACGCTGCAAATGGGCCATAGTCAATTTCCAGCGAGGGCCACGCGCTTATGTTAAGCTCAGGCCGGTATTCATACTCGGATCTTGCATGTAAGACCGTCTTGAATTCATCTTCAGATACTATATGGCTCATTTCATTGGCTACGAAACATCTGAAGATGAACTTAAGAATACTTTTCCACGCAGTTTACCGAACGCTTGAACGCAAACTTCATTTTCGACTCGAGGGAGGAGAGGGGGGTCGTCGACTCAAGAATTGAGCTTTCGTTTCAATGAGGGTATCGCGATGGTGTTCGAGTCGCGAGCCATCGGAGAAGGAAGGCGCTTCAGCGAGCCCCGAGTATCCAAGGCGCAGTGCGCCGCACCTTTTTAGATCTTGAAGAGTTGCGGGGGTGGCTCGCTGGGAGTGTCGTGGATGCTGCAGGGGCGGAGCCTTGAGAGTTGCATCGAGACTGCTCGGTTGCGTCGATAAGCAGATCGTCTCTGCCCCTGCCGCCCCTCCCCGTGCCGTACTCTTGATTTTGCGGGCGTGCAAAGTTAGCGGTGCAGACGTTAGCGCGCAATTTCCCACAACAGCCGAGATTAACGCCGATTAATCGTCACCGGTCAAAGCGATGGTTTTTGAATTGCGCCCTTCCGTATCCTCGGCCGTCCTCGACAGTCCGGCCGATCGGGAACGGCTGGATCATTCCCCGTGGCTTCCGTAATGCGATCGCAACGATAATGACCGGCGAGGAGAGGAGCGCAGCGGGCTTAGTCAAGGAGAGTACGTAAACCGACTCGTGGACAGGTTAGCGGTTCTCGAACGTGTAGCGGCTAATCGAATTATCGATGCTTTGAGGATCAGCGTCCGTGGATGATTGGATCATGTACCTGATGAACAGTTCCAGCGGTCAGCGATGCGAGCCACTTTCGAAGGGTGCCTCTCGTTACGGACCCTCCTCTCGGTGGTAACGTTTGAGCGAGGCCGTTTCCGCCGCGCTCCGTTGCCTCCTCGACGACAATAACTTCAGACGAGTAATTGCTCGCAAAAAAAAAACTTGTATCCACAGGACGACGCTTGGAGACCGATCGCTGACCGCGCGAGTTTCTCCACGCGAGAGCGCACAGTCTCTCTCTCTCTCTCTCTCACGTCTATTTGCCGCCGTCGTTATCGCAGTTGGACGATTTCCAGGGGGGAGAACTCGGGGGGAAACTCGCGAAATCAAAGTCGGGAGGGTAGTCGCGAGGCCGGCATTCAAAAGACGAAGATCCCGGTACAGAAGGACGGGGCGTTCTTTTCCGGGGGGGGCCCCGAAGGGGAGAGGAAAAGAAGGGGAAACCGCGGCCACCGCACTGATGAAAATCGCGGCTAAATACAAAGTGGAAATTGAGCGGCAACCTAACTCCGGCGGTCGAAGGTTTTCGAGGTCGTCGGCGGAATCCAGGTCGGCGTCCGCAGGAATTTCTGCGGTGAAATTCCAGCGCACGTAACTCCAAATATTTCTGTTATCGTAGTTCCGTACGGGGGTTTTCGAGTTTCAAAGGAAACACTCTCGCCGCTTTCGCACAAGCAGCAAGCGGCGACGGTGTTTCGCGTCGCGAAACGGTCCAACGCGACCGAGACGTGCGCGTTCCTGCGGAAATTCCGTCGATGTGCTTCCTCGGTGAATCATACACGGTGCCATGGACGAATCGAGCGTCGGATAGGACGAGGAGAAGCGTACGCGCGCAAGTTTCAATGGATGTCGATATCTGCACGCGTGACGTAAAATTTGGGAAATAGCTGCGGTGAGAAACGCCTAACTGGGTTTAACGTGCTTTTAATCCGGGCTCGTTGGTACACGGATGATGTTGCTTTTACGAGCGGCGACAGAGGAGACTTGGTCTTTATTGTTGGGCAGCTTGACGAGATCTCAAGTAAAACTATTCAACTCACGATTAGGTTCGACGAACAATCGAAGATACGGATTCGCTTACGTAGGTCATTTCGAAATTTATGAGTTTACCCAGTAAGAAATTGTGTGTTAAATCTAACGCACTCCACACGCCCTAAACGGTTCATAGAATGTTTGTGTTAATTAAACACAAGATGAGTATGTTGAAAAGTGACACAAATAATATGCCAAATATTAACGTAAAATTAATACGTTAATCGTTAAAATACATTTTACACGGAAGTATAAAATGTGTTATTTTAATACTTACGCACGTTGAGCATCGATTCAACGCAAATTATGTTGAGCCAATATAAACACAATATGTTAAATTAACACACGGGTAAGTTAAAAACTGTTTTAACAAGTACCGAACAACTTCCGCACAAGTACAAAATGCTTTTTACTATGTAAAGCTAGAATATCCAAGGTTCAAAGGGAAACGTTTGTTTCTGTTCGAAGAGGGAGACGCTCAAGGGTGTTATTTACACAGATGTGGTTCAAACTATCGGAAGTAAAAGATTTCCGAAGGAAAAGTGAGAAAAGGATACAGGCCTACGTTGCGGCACGTGACAGCAGCGTGTAACAAAAGTGCGGCTGGACGCGCGACGCTGAAGGTCCGCGTGCGAGCTTTCAATCTAATTTACACCGTCGCGCGAGCTCTCCGTCCGCGAAAGACCAACATAAATTTAACGTCGCGCCGATCGATCGCCTAGCGATTATTATGTGGGAAAGTTTATATGCGGGCGGATTTAATAGTTTGCATAATTTACCCCGCTAGTTAGTTATTCCATTAATCATTATCCCGGGGTAGGTGTGTGCATGCCCGCGAATAACAATCGTACTATTATTTATAATGTATTCAATTTATCGGTAACCCGCGGGCGGAGGTAAAGCGTGTAATCGATTCAACTCGATTAATTAACTCGCCCCCGCGTGTGCGATTGTAACCGAGGCGCGCCTCTCGGCGTGTACGTGTGTGTGTGTGTGCCGAGGCGTCTCTCACGTTACCGTAGACGAAAACTTTCCGCACCGTTTGCGTTCCGCAAAAAACGCCACGCCGGCGTGTTGTACATATACATACGCGCACGCACACGTATATATTTATACACATACCTATATATGCGGGTCGCGCGGGCGGCGCGCGACAAAGGCGTTTAATTAGAAGCGCATCGGGAAACGGGGCATCATCCGGCGCGGTTTTTGTCCCCGGCAATTTTCGCGTTCCCTCTCCGGTAAGGCGATACGCGGATTTTTCATCCCCGTGGCCGTTAATAATTAACGGATCAAAGGCATCGTATTAATATTTGCCCCGGAGTCCCGACCGCACGGAAGATATTAACCCGCGTAATATTGTGTCCATGCTAAGGGGAGAGAGAGAGAGGGCATATTGAAACCGCACAAACTTCGCTCATAGCATCCGCGAGTATGAGCTCGTAAATATACCGGGTGGCTGAAATCGAACTTGGTCGGTATGGCGCGCGTACTGGCGTGGACATCGCCCGGAGGAAAAAGGGCGAGAGCCGGGCCTCCGAAGCGCCGGATTATTAACCGCTTCAAGATCAAACGGCCGTACGCGTGTTCGAGACACGTTATTGATCTCCGCGCTTTCCCACCACTTTGCGGAGACTCGTCTTTGGAAAATGTCTTTCTGCGCTTTCTTTTTTTGCGGAAAACCGTTTCCCCCGTGTCGCCGATATTCACGTCGTCGTTTCTCGTGGGTGGCGCGGGTATCTATTTCTTCTCTTTTTTCCTTTGTCCGTTTAAACGGACATCGGTGGCTCTGCGGAGAGGATGCCTAATGTTTATCTGGAGCACGGACAACGGTCGACTATCCGACTCGTTGGTTGTTTCGCAGCCGGTGGTGCTTAAGCGCGCAATAAGTGGACAAAGAGAGAGGGAGGCGGAAGAACAAGGGAGAGAGAGAGAGAGAGGACGCATTGGGAGGGTCAAACTAATTCGATTCTAAACTCTGACCGCATCGCGAGAAAGAGACCGTAGGACGGGACACGCTCCCGATGCGGGAGGGATCCGCGGAGGATGAGAAAGGCTACACACGGCCCGAACGGGCTGGACACAGATGGCACTAACCGCGCCGTTAAATTCTCAAACCGTAACTCTAATTACTCATAGACAAGCCGACATTCTCTAGTGCCAGATGCCGGCGAAACTTGTTAAATACACGCGAACGCGATTACTCATTCGATCCCACCGGCCGAGGACCGCCAGGCCGGAAAGTCGATCCGACGGGATTATCCGAGAGCGTCGCAGCTCCCGACACGATAGGACAAGGTAATGCCGTGACAAATATCATCTTCCTCGAAAGTCAACGTCGGCTAATTTATCGTTTTTTCTCTTCTTCCTCTTTCGAGAAAATAGTAAGAACGCCAAGCGCGCCTACTCGTGCCGTTCTCTCGCGAGTCCGGACGAATGCACGGAATTTACGAGGCGCTCGGCAAACTCTACGTATGGCGGCGATTATAAAGCGACGTTTCTCCACCATGTTGCAGACGATAAAATGACTATGGATGGGAGCAAGAGCGAGCCGGGCAAGAACGGGGCCACTCAACAAGAATGCGCGGGTTGCGGAAAGGCGATTACGGAGAGGTGAGTGCTCCGCTTCGTTGCGTGACGCGACGCTTCGTGTATGTTTTATATCCCTGCACGCGCCCAACCACCTAACCCGAAAGAACGCTGACCGTAAGGCCGGTTTACTTAACGGTCGATCTTAACGTCTGTCCTTTCCATACGGAAGGGGAGCCGTCGCAAGCACAAACTGGGTTAAATATGTTTTCGCATTACCATCGCGAGGCGACTATAGTCGACCGAGTCGAAATTTTCGTCTCACATTAATCCTGCAAATGTCGCCGAGTGGATTGCATAATTAATACGCTGCTTGCTGAAATTAATAACGCAATTTAAATGTAACGCATGCAGCAGATGTTAAGATGATTCAGAAAATTCAGTAATTCTTTGACAAATTCTTCTTTCTTTGTATGCTCGATACCGTAATAAAACGGCATAAAAAATCATTTCTAACGTTAGACGTCAACAGCCTGCACAATATTGTATTTTAGGATTTTCTATTGGTACTTTGAGTTCCACAGAATACGCGAGATTAACTCAGAAATGAGATTTGGACTTGAGTAAGGACGCGGTGAGCGCGTTGTTCGCGGGGTTAAATTTCGCACGACAAACGGAGCGATTATATTTAAAAATCGGGATATTAATTAGCGTACGTTCACCTCGCAGTGTGCGCTACGTCAGCGTTCGTGAAAAGAACTCGTAGATCAGTCGCGTATATGTTATATGATATGGACGATTTTGGAAAAAATTAATTTGTCTTAAAATTAAATATTTTCAAACTGTTGATCAAATTCGTCCCTCGATTAGGTACCTCCTGAAGGCGTTGGACATGTATTGGCACGAGGACTGTCTGAAATGCGGATGTTGCGACTGTAGACTCGGTGAGGTCGGCTCGACGCTCTACACGAAGGCCAATCTGATTCTCTGCAAACGAGACTACCTGCGGTATGTACCTGACAAACAATCGATCGGCCCCGACATCTTGCCTCTCGCGAGATTCTTCCCGGCGAGTTCGCAGATTCGATAATATCGCGTGTCTCGCGTCGACGAGTCAATAAACGTGGACGGACGTAGATAGATTGATAAAGCGGGACAAGAGAAACGCGATCCTCGGGAGGGTACGAGGAAATGGAGGAGGAGGAGGAGGACGACGACGGCGGCAACAAATCGAATTTTACAGATGAGTTTCCCTTATTGAATACAGCCACATCCCGTATAAACAAGCGAGAGCAAATAAACCGTGTTGAGATTACGAAGTCCCGAGGGAATGCGCGCAGGTGGCGCGTCCGCGCACGAGGAACACGCACCGTCGAAACATTGTGGCCTTTATTAATGGCTCAATATTTGAAGACGGCATATTCGTGGCGGCCGTAAGCTTATTGGCTCCCGCTGTGCGCGTCGGCGAAAGTTGCCCCGCTCGTTCCCCGCCATCGAGAGGAACACGACTTTTCCCGCGCGAGACGCGCGAAAGTTAGGCCTCCGATGATATTCCACGGCAATAACCGTTTAATCGCGACGAGCAGGCGCGTCGTCGATTTTAACGCGAATAAAAAAGTCGAAGGAAACCTCGCATCGCGTTGTTGCATCGCGGCCGAGCGATCGTTCAAAAAGTCCGAAATCCAGCGACGACGGACTGCTTACGTTCGTCTCTCTCTCTTTTCTGTTCGACAGGCTCTTCGGAAACACCGGCCACTGCGCAGCATGTAGCAAGGTGATCCCAGCGTTCGAGATGGTGATGCGCGCGAGAACTAACGTTTATCATTTGGAGTGCTTCGCTTGTCAACAGTGCAATCACAGGTGAGTGGCCGAAAACGCGAATGCTCGGTTGCAATTCGATCTCTCTTATGTTGAATCAATGAAACAGTAGATAATTAGTGAGTATTTACTAATATTTGGTGGAAACTGTTCCATTTCCATTTAGTCCTTTTGTCCAACACTTCCATTTAGCTTTTTCGTCTAATACGTTCGTTGATTTTGGCCGATGAAAAGTTCACTGCTAATCACTAATTACGCGTCTCATAGCAGAAATATATGTATATATCGTATATATATTCAACCATATGTCGTATTTGGCGTAATTCGTTTTGCGGCAGACTCAAGAACTAGAGATTTCGAGTTCAAGCCCTATCAGGATAAGCGTGTTTTTCAAATACAATATAAATTAAATCAATTAAACGTAATTAAGAATATTTCAAACAAAAAATGATTGACGATACCTTAAGAGTGAAATTAAGATAATAAAAAAGAATTCATAAATAATATCTTTCTTCATTATTTCTGCAAATAGATTTCTCCGTTGGAAACAATTGCTCTATTAACAGATTTTTATAGCGAAATTTTACTGATTTGCAGTGCCGTACTTACAATCATGATCATCAGTGACTATTGATCGCTTCCCAGTGATAATGCTGATGCACTTGAGACAGATCGCTTGCCTTCGCGCGAAACAGACTTACACACACTTCCGTTATAAATTCGGAAGAGATTCGGCGTTAATCGTACCGCACGATGAGCGACGAAATCCCAAGGAACGCCGATGATACGATAAGCCCGGCGGCTCGCCGCGTCGCAGCAAGCGCGGTCCCGTTTCCGCGGGGCCCTCCGGCTGCGCTATTATTTTATTAACAATAATGAAAGCCGGTAATTAAACATTCACACCCGGCGGCGCCGACGTTGGCGGCGGCGGTGGCGACGGCAAAGTCGCTCGCTCGAGTATTCCTCGTGGCAGCTCATCCGTATAACAATTTAATTCGAACCACCCCAGCTACCGGCGCGCCCGGGGAGGTTCGCCTAACTTCTGCAGCACTTCGCAACACTTCGCTTACTTATTCACAACAACCGAGTTAAGCCGAGGCTCGTTCGAAAGCCGGGACTTCAGCCGAAACGCCTCGGCGGATCTGCCGAATGGAGATAATCGGCGCCGTGAGGCTCGAAAGCCCGCGAGCTGCGTCGTCGACAGACCGCGAAGCAAAAGTTGAATCATTTTCACATGTTCGCACAAGCGACCCGATTTCTTTCTACGAATTTCTTACAATTTCTTTCACTTCACTTGGCTGTTATGACCTTGAACAAGTATTACCTCGCGTTCTTGTCGATAATAACGAGAACAGACGTGTTTCGAGTGTGTGTCAATTTAGTTTGATTTTTGTTTATTCGTGACTTGAAACTTGAAATTCCTTGTTTACTAACAGAAAAATAAACGTTTGCGTGAAAAATATTAATATTATTTACACAAATTATAGGTGCAATAAGTGATTTGATACTTTAGAAGGTTGCAGAGGTAAAAGCGCTGACTAACACAGAAAATTCTAATCGAGTGAACATAAAAGTAATAGCTTTTCTTCTCCTCCTAATCTGTATTCTACAAAAAAATCAAAGTGCTTCTAATAATATGGCCAGGGATTATATAATACAACTGAAATTCAGTTACCAGATACCTAGTTTCTATCTGTAAGAACTAAAAATTAAGTACACGGACAAAAAAAATACGAAATTTCCGTTGTATTATATGAACAGCTAATTTTTAGAGAGATTTTAGTGAGAGCTACTAGCTAGATTTTTAGTGAGAGCTACTTTCCTTTCTTCCATGCATCATACTTAAAGTTTTGGGACCCGATATGAATGGACGCGTCCTGATTTGCATGTACAATTTATCCCCACTGAAAGAATGAAGAGACAGAGGGACAAAGTTCGGATATCGCCGTTCCCGTGACTTTCGTCGCCCGTTCCGCGCTACACAGTTGGCATAAACGACGGTTATTCCCCCAGCACGGAGACTTCCGAGGAGGATCGATGTCGTAGAACGAGAAGAATCCGCCCGACATTTCCTCTCTTGACGGGTATAATTGACGCGAGAGCTTCCGACGTGGATGCGAAGCAGCTACCCGCGGAGACATTCGCCGAATGAGGGAGATAGGAAGGGAGGAGAGATAAAGGCGGGGGAGGCGAGGAAAGTCAGAGTTGCGAACTATGCGAGCGACGTGTGGGTGCCTCGAGGTGCACGTCAGATGCAAATCATGCCGACTAATTTCTCGGAAAACTCGCGGATCCGGAGGGAGGGAGGGAGAGAGAGAGAGAGAGACCGAATATCCACGGTGAGATATGTACGTCCGAGCGGCATAATAGCGTAGCGATAAAGCCGAATCGCCGAATTAATTATACTCCCGTGTCTTTGGTTGTCCGAAACAGTTCAACCATTCGGCGCTAACAACCCTTTGGTCCTGCTAGTTATCAAAAGCAGCCCGTTTCACGTACACGTTGATTAACCCTTTGGGTTCCGAATTAATTTTTCTAGATATCGATGTATTAATATTTTATTTATAATTAAAATACAAAATCCACCGGCGCATAACCAAGAGAGGGACGAAACGGGCTTTTTAATTTTAAATCCTGCTTCTTTGAAAGGGTCGAACGTGCGATATAATAATAAAATTATTCATTTAATTTAACGATATGGCAAATGATTAAATCATATTTCTGATATTACAATTTCCGTTCCCTCTTATTCTTGCGCGTCGAGGGTTCTTCGCTCTCGAATTTTATATACGAGACGCTCCAGCAGATTTATAATAAGATTAACTTTATAGATCGATTAACTGTCGTATCGGTATCAAATAAATTGCATTAAGTTGAGAAAGGATAGGCAACGATGGGACCGCTTCTTTATACCGCTTGACGGGGGTCGATGGCATTTCGGCGTATTTAATGTCACTCCTCGGCATTTGCCCGACCTTTCTTACACCCTATGGCTCTTCATTCCGAATTGATTCGGGCCACGGGACCGAAACACCGGAATCGTATGTCCGCTGAGAAGAACATAAAAGCTTCTTGCATTTACGGCACGTCTTAATGTACTAACAATCTGTCTAAAACGTAATTGGAATACCTAACATTGTAGAATAGGGATAATGCGATAGATTAGCAACATATAATGTATCTCTCGCTGTTCCATAGCATCCCTTAGAATTCCTTCATCGCACAACACAGCGTCATTTCGCTAAAGTTTCGACAAACACCGATAAGAAGGATATTCTTTCGCGCCGGTTGAAAGCCACTGACTGCGCGCGATGTCGCCTCGATTCCGAAACGGATGTCCTCGTAGAACGTGGAAACAAAATCGTCGTCGGCGAGGAAGGGTGTAGTCGGGCGAAGCGAAGTAAGGGTTAACAGCTCTCGCGGAGCTCCTCGGCGGCGCGTGACTATCGAGCGGAGCCGATTACGGCTTAAAGATACGTCGGCGAAAGTATACTTTCTTTCGCGGTCGATGGTAACGTGCAACCCTTAAGGCGAACCATTGGTTAGGGGTCGAAGCGGTTGACCGTACGCAGAGGCGGAAACGGATGTGGCCGTTGGGTCACGCGATCTCCACGAGCCGAGCATAAAACACCTGAGTTGTTTAATCATACGCTCCCGAGGTAGAAGTCGTGGCTCGAGAACTCGTAAGGGCGAGACCTCTCGCCCGGCTTTCTCTCTCTTCCTCTCTTTGTCGGTCTTTCGAATTTGTGCCGCGTTACGGAAGCGCGCGGATTGCTCATTGACGAGTAAACGTGCGAGGATAATCAAAGCCTCGGACACAATCGGTCGAGTTTTCTTTGTGGGAGATTCGACGTGGAAATTTAAGCCTTCCGAGTCTAACCGGGTTGTACATCTATCATTTCTACTTTACATCCTCGTATATAATAATAATAATCATTATTGTTAATCATAAACACGGAAAAGAGTAAATCTTCCTTTGATATAATAATATATAAATCACGTCACTTGCTTGAACCGCATAAATGCATATAAAATGCAATCAATTACAAGAAAATGAAGAATAAGAGAAAACAAATCTAAATTATAACCACTTTTTTCAGTGTGAAAAGCTACTTAATTTAATTCAAAACGGAGTTATGAGTAATATTGAAAAAGTCAACATAATTGGACAATTCATTAGTCATAATACGCATACGGTTGATTGGCCCAAATTTCCCATACAAAGATCCGATATCGGGAAACCGTGAAAAGCAAACATCTCCTCAAATTCCTACCCAGAACACTGAGATTGGCAAGTGCCAAAAGATTAGGGCAGCCAATGCATCCGACTAAGAGATTAAGCGAAAAAACAAGAGGAGAGTCCTCCTCTCAGCTAAGGATAAAATATAACGATTACATTAGATCCGCTGATAATCACGGCAAAATAATGAACTTTGCGTGAAAATGGTAATAACTTTTATGTTAAATTTCTTGGATGATATTATTATTTCGTTTGCACAATTAGACGGGGATATCGATGCATTAATAAACGCAGAAATTAAGGTGAATTAAATGGCTCGGAAATTATCTCTTGACGATCGCATGAAATTATCTTCGCTGCAACATAATCTCTTACCTCGTCTCCAACGCGTCGTATCGTTATCACAGCGATGTATTCTCAAACAATAATAGAAGGATGACGAGCCGAGCGAATCGAAATGCGCGCGATGAATTATGAAATCCCATCATATGGCATTAACGAGGCGAACTCTTCCGCCTGTTTTCCCAGCGCGATTCTCGGTTAATATCTCACGGCGATCGAAACGCGCGGATAAAAAAATATCAAATTTATACCGTCCCGTCGGTGAGTATCTCTCGCGCGCGTGCACACTGTTTAAAGCCGATGACGCACTTTGTGCGTCGCGCAATTTCGAGATTTACCGCGGCCGCGTTTCGACCCACCAATTCGCCGCGGCGTGTTGCGAACATCGGCTGCGTTTGATTTAAAGTGTCGCTCCCGCGCGAGACCGCGCGCGACAGAGTCGCGGGCGAAATGCGCGCAA